CAGTGTTCCGTTGGCTGGGCAGATTTTGGCACTCACCCCGCCGCTTTTATTCAAACTTTCTCTTTTTGCGCCCTCAGCGCACGTTGCCCTCGCCGCCTTGCCCCAGCCCCCCGATTCCTTGCTTCGTTTACCCTCAAGTCTCGCGCATGGGTGCAGACGGGGAGCTTCAAGTGGTTCCCTCGCCGAACACAGCAATCGAAGATATATCGCCCATGAGCGGCGCATAGAGACACCAGTGCCGGGACCCTGCGCCCGACCCCCACATTCACCCTCCAAGGGACTGTAAAACAACGACTCGGGATGAAAAGCCGGTCCCGGGGGAAGGGGTCGAGACATTTTTGGGTTCGACGTTGTGAAAGAAACACGACGTCGGGGGTCTGATGAAGGCCAACAGAGAAGGATCAGATATGAGGACTGGGCGAGGGGTGGGAAGGCGGAGGCGCAATGATCCAGCGGTGGGGGACGAAAGTGGGGGCAGAGGACGAGGAGGAGGAGGAGGAGGAGGAAGAGGACTAGGGAAGGGGGGATCATTGTGGAGCACTGCGTCCAATAGAACAGGTTGAAGCTGGAAGCGCTCGCCACGCGAATCGGCTGCGCCAAGTCGGCCCAGTCGTTGCCTCCCGTGGTCGCCTAGAAGGAGGGAGGGGAGGGCAGAGGACGAAGCGGGACGGACTGCTCTATGGTGCCCTACGAGATTATGATGTCCCAATGTGTTCGAGGAGGTCGGAGGCTATGCTTATCATAGGCGGAGCAGGGAAGATGGGAATGAGGAATGAGGAAGAGGAAACGCAACTAGTTACATTAGGACCTCTTTCGAACTGGTCCGAGGAGGTTTCTTTCAACTGCTTCTTACACCACAGAAATTATGCCATACACCGCATAGCGTACACCACACAGCTTCCGACAAACTGCCTACCCCATATCAATTACATCACGTAGCTTGTAGCCCATATCGCACATCATTTACAACGCACCACAAGACATACACCACACAGTCCATCACGTCGCTATCTAGCACCACGTGCATCGCACATCCAAATTGCGCGAGCCTATTGTTTGGGGCCTGAACGAAACACAACAACATACTACGGCAGGTTCGTGTCGTGCCGACCCCAGCGTTGGTTTTTGGCACCGCAGGGATCGTTAAACCTTGAACGATCGGCCGCTGCCGCAACGTCCGATCGTTCAACATCGATCGATTCTGGGTCGCCAGCGGCGTTCAACCTTGAACGCCCACGCTGGGGTCGCCGCTGGGTCGACACGACGCAAACCTACCGTAGACTTGCAAGCGAAGACCTTACATGCTCGAACGGCCTGGCATCACACGGGCACGGGGCGAACCCGCCCGCGCCCACCCGGCGCCCACAGGCCACACACCAAGCGCCCACGGGCGGGCACTCACCGGGCACCCCTGAGTACAAGCGACGCGTGGGAACCGAGGCCGCGCTAACGGCGATGCTGGTTAACGGCGAGGTTGGGAATCTGGTGTTTGTGACACCGAGCTCGCGCAGAACAAATGGTAGGAAATCACGAGCCACACTTTCCTGCATGTCAACATGTGCAAGTGCATCGAGCGAAAACGACGCAGCGAATTGCAGGAAAGCGCGAACCACGCGTTCCTACAACTGGTTTGGCCACGGACCACGCCTTCCTACAATCGGATGTTCTACCTCCCTGTTAGCTAACACACCGTTAGCGCGTCCACGGGGGAGGACATGAATGCGCAAGGAACACGAGCAAGAACACGAGGGGGGCGACGACACGGACGGGCTGGCGAGGACGGAAAGCCGTACGCACTCTTCTCGCGTGGGCGCGGCGAGGCACCCCCAGGAACGCCACCCCTGGCGGACGGCGGCAATGAGGAGAGAGGAGGGGGGGGCGAACGGGCGAGAGCGACTGTGGCCAAGAAACGCGGCTGGGTGAACAAGAGGGTACCGATACCGCTGCTCACGGACCCGCCCATGGTGCAGTCAGCTGCGGCGACGAGGGCTCTCTAGGACGAGCAGCGAAGTCGGTATGTCTTCCACGATGGTTTCCCCCAGGGCCGTAGGCGACCCGAGGAGGAGAAGGCGAGGAGGGGGATGAGGAGGAGGAGGAGGAGGAGGAGGAAGAAGAGGAAGAGGGGGAGGAGGAGGAAGAGGAGGAGGAGGGGGATGAGGAGGAGGAGGAGGAGGAGGAGGAGGAGGAGGAGGAGGAGGAGGAGGAGGAGAGGAGGGAGGAGGAGGAGGAGGAGGAGGAGGAGAAGAAGGAGGAGGAGGAGGAGGAGGAGGAGGAGGAGGAGGACGTGTCGCCTAAGGTCTTCAGAGAATCCCTCCATGTCTCCCTCGTCTGAACGGCAAGCGCCGGGGGGGGGGCCTTTTCAATCCGGTGCCACATCCTCGGAGGGCTTCGGCGGGGCAGGGCCGTGAGCGCGAGCCGCGGCCCTGCGGTAGACGCGCCTGGGTTGTCTCCCTCCGCGCGCTCGGCCTTCGTGGGGCACCCCCGAGAGCCGAGGGCCGGCACGCGGCGCGCGCCGGCGGGCGCGGAGGCTTGAAAAAGATGCGGGCCCGCCTGCCTGGAGGAGGCGGGAAAAAAGGAGGGGGGGTGGGAGGTGAGGGAGGGGGGGAGGGAGGGAGGGAGGGGGAAGAAGGAGGGAGAGAGGGAGGGAAGGGAAGCAAGGGAAGGGGGGGGGGGAGAAGTGAGGTAGGGAAGGAGGGAAGCGGGTGAAGGAAGGGAAGCAAAGGAGGGGGGCAGTAGGGGAAGCAAGGGGGAGGTAGGGAAGGAGGAGGGGGGGAAGTAAGGGAGGGGGGGGAGGGAGGGAGGGAGGGGGAAGAAGGAGGGAGAGGGGGAGGGAGGCAAGCTAGGTGCGCTCGCGTCATATCTGACATCCTACCCCTCCCTCCCATCCCTTACCATGGCGTAGATCCCCTCTCTACTCGGACAGTCGGATGTCGAGCAGGGCAATGATCCCGAAAGGGTACGCGATGCATTGTAGAGCACGGCATAGCATGGCGTAGAAGAGCACCGCAAAGCGTAGCATCAACCTAGCATTGCATTGCATGCCGTGGCATGGCACGGGAAATGTCGCCAGCGCTGCAGCGGAGGCACGAGTCGGAACGAGCGGAAGCGCGGAAATGAGGCCATCGCTGCAGCGGGAGCACGATTCGGAACGAGCGGAAGCACGGAAATGAGGCCAGCGCTGCAGCGGGAGCACGGTTCGGAATGAGCGGGGCCGGAAAATGAGGCCGGCGCCTCAGCGAGAGCAACATTTTGGAAACAAATGCAGGCGAAAACCCAACTCCGGGGAATCCTGTGTGTAAAAAACCGTACGCGGGGGGGGGGGGGGGGGGGCTAACACTTTCAGGCCGTCATCAGGGGAAGAGGGAGAGTAGTACTCAGATTGAAAAATTGATTGTGGAAACAAGGGAGGGGCCTGTGGGTGGCGGCTCCCCGGAGGGGCCTGTGGTTCGAGCCTCTGGTGGGTGGCGGCTCCCCGGAGGGGCGTACGCCCCGCTGCGTATGCGCCGCCATCCCCCGAGGGGCGCCCACGCCGCGGGGAGGAAGGGAGCCGCGGAGGGGACGGGGGACGCGTGTGGGGAGGAGGACGAGGAGAGCGAGGGAGGTGGAGGGGGAGGGGGAGGGGGAGGAGGAACAGGGGGAGACGGTGGAGGGGGAGGAGAGGAGGGAGGAGGAGGAGGAGGAGGAGGAGGAGGAGGAGGAGGAGGAGGAGGAGGAGGAGGAGGAGGAGGAGGAGGAGGAGGAGGAGAGGGAGGAAGGGAGGAGGCGGCGGAGGAAGGAGAGGAGAGAGGAGGAGGAGGAGGAGGGAGGAAGCGGAGGAGGAGGAGAGGAGGAGGAGGAGGAGGAGGGAGGAGTGAGGAGGAGAGGAGGGGAGGATGAGGAAGGAGGAGGAGGAGGAGGAGGAGGAGGAGGAGGAGGAGGAAGGAGGCGCGAGGAGGGGAGGAGGAGGAGGAGGAGGAGGAGGAGGAGGAGGGAGGAGGAGGAGGAAGGAAGGGGGGAGGGAGGAGAGGGAGAGGAGAGGAGGAGGAGGCGGAGGAGGAGGAAGGAGGAGGAGGAGGAGGAGTGAGGAGGAGGAGGAGGAGGGGGAGGAGAGGGAGGAGGAGGAGGAGGAGGAGGAGGGAGGAGGAGGAGGAGGGAGGAGGAGGAGGAGGAGGAGGAGGAGGAGGAGGAGGGGGAGGAGAGAGGAGGAGGAGGGAGGAGGAGGAGGAGGAGGAGGAGGGAGGAGGAGGAGGAGGAGGGGCGGAGGAGGGGGAGGAGGCGGAGGAGGAGGAGGAGGAGGAGGAGGAGGAGAGGAGGAGGAGGATGAGGAGGAGGAGGAGGAGGAGGAGGAGGAGGGAAGAGGGAGGAGGAGGAGGAAGAGGAGGAGGAGGAGGAGGAGGAGGAGGAGGAGGAGGAGGAGGAGGAGGAGGAGGAGGAGGGGGAGGAGAGGGAGGAGGAGAAGAAGGAGGAGGAGGAGGAGAAGGAGTAATGCAAACCCCAAATGCATCAAATATTATGTAATGAGCCCGCCCTCATAGGCCCCTACAAATATTCACTTCCACTGAAAGAAATGCCCCATTGGAAGACAACATCTTGAAAATCCGGATGCCTCCCAAATTCCAAAACACCATCATGTCTGGGACTCCAACGAACACAACAAATCAACGCAACTGATGTTCCCTGCCTGTCCGACATCGTGCCGAAACATTGTTTTTGGCATGTTAACCATGCGAACCCTTGAAACGGCTGTAAACGCTAAAACAACACGCGCAACATAACGGCGAAAACCGCTCTTTGGAACGGGACCGCCATCCATCCGTGAAACTGCTGCAAACTTCTATCACGGATGTGCGCGGCGCTGAAGCGAAAACCACAATTTGAAAACGGCCCGCCCTCCATCTGTGAAACTGTTGGATTGTTTTTCTAATTCGAGGTAATACATAATGGTAGAAGTAAAGCCTCACGCGCAACGCCTGGCACGCCCTTTCGACCAGCCTCAGGGTACGACAGGGAGGAGCTAGTTATAAGGAAATGGAATGGGGAAGAACGAGGGGGAAGACCGTTGCGAACCCAAGACTCATCAATGGCCCTCGCCGAGATGGTCCTCGCCGGGACTGTTTTGTTTAGGAAGCCAGGGTGGCACAAAACTGAGATCGGTCTACAATCCCAAAAGGAATGCTGAGGGGCCAACTGACGGATAAACCTGCAGGGGGCGGGTGCAAGAAGACGCGCCAAGGTAGCAAACCCGCCTGCTCGAAAAAGCCTCGCGGGTATGCCGCCGCCCTGGTTGGTCACTGCGCAATGATCTCGCACCGCATCTTCCCCTAAAAACACAAAGTGTCAAACCATGTGGCACCATACGTTGCGCCAACGGCAAGACTGATTAAATATTGAACGATCGATCAAAATGCAAAACCTCCGATGATGCGAACAGACACGCCAGAATAGTAAGCCCGGCTGCTTGAATCTGCCTCGCCGGTATGCCGCTACCCTGGTTGGTCGCTGCGCAGAGCTTTGCCAGCGGCTGACTTCCCAAATGCCAGCAAACATATAAATGACGTTCGCCGTATGTGACATGTCAGGCTCGCCGCCACGTGCACGGTGCGGCAGCCTGCCCTAGCGAGCATGCCGTAGCTGCGCCACTGTGCTCCACACCCCCCTGGGAGAACCCATCGCACCGACAGTCTCTCGAGACTTACGCCACGAAAGTTGTCGACGCCACGCTGTTTGTTCTCGACGCGACAAATGTTACAACGCCGACACAGCAAACCCGCGGCAGGCCCTGCGCCCCGCGCCCGAGTGGACGACGCCGGCGCCGCGGCGAACCCACGGCGAATCCACCGCGCCCGAGGCGGCGTTTGCTCTTGCGCCCACGGCGCCCTCTCAAAGACGGAAAGTCGCGCGTCGGAACAAACGGCGCGGCGACATAGATGCAGATATTCCCTCCGATGCGTGTACCTCAAGGAGGGTGGCGGTGTATAAAGTCGCTGGCTCTCAAGGCTAAAAGCAGGTTGGAACATCATAGGTCTCGTCTTGAGGAAAGCCCCCGCGTCCAGGCTCCGTTCTCCCCCAGGACCCGTTTCCCCCGAGTTGTCGTGTTTATGCGATTTGATGTTTCCCTGGGTATACAGTCAGCCCGTATCATAAGGATGCGCGGCAAGGATGCAAGGGCCTTGGAGGCCCATGTTACCGAAAGTCGCTGAGGATGTGCCGAAATTGCAATCCGTACTATGCGGGCTGACTAGATCCCTAAACCACTCCGGCATCGAACAAAATCGAACCCCCGACACCAAAAACAAATGCATCGTGTCTCTGACTCCTCCTGCAACTCCTGCAGCTGCAGCTGCTATGGCTCTTATCTGTTCTGCTGCTGCTGCTGCTGCTGGTCCGCCTCCTCCTTCTCCTCCTCGCACTCTTTGCCCCCTGGGTAGGTTCCCAACCCGTCCACCTCCCTCGTGGGGGGCACGTGGAGAGGGGGGGGGGGGGTGGAAAAAGCGGTGACCGAGGGCTGGACCTGAGGATCCGATCTCGCGCATGCTCCTGCTGACTCCTTCCTCCTCCTCCTCCTCCTCCTCCTCCTGCCTCCTCCTCCTCCTCCTCCTCCTCCTCCTCCTCCTACTTCCCTTTCTCCCCGTCCACCTCCGCGACCTGTGGCGCAGGCTAAAATGATTACCGCTGCACCGCGGTTCCAACCTCGATCACTTCCCCGAGGGATCTTAGTTGCTGAATGAGGCAATGAGGTTTTGCGTAGAATCCATGAGCCCGACAGCGATGCAGAATAATGACAGCAGCATCAGAAACCCATGCCAAATGGTGCGCCCAAAGCCAGAAGGCTTGGCCTTGACCGCCTTGCGAATCATCCAGCCGAAGATTATTGGACTCACCACTCCAAGTACTGGGCCGCAAATGCTGGCGAACAAATTGAACACGAGGCTGAACTCCGTGATCAAAAGTGGGACTCCTATGGTGAACGCCACAACAAGAGTGCGCATTACGTAGTTCATGGTGGTTCCCACCTTCATGTTCTCTTTCCCGTAGGTCGTTCCCTGAAAGGCGAGAAAAACAGGTGCCAAAATCAGCGGGTAGCTGATGATCAGATTTACCACCACACAAAACGACATAGCTGTCGGCAAGATGATCCTCTCGCTGCCGGTCCAGTCTTTAGGCTTCAGAGTTTGAGCCTCCTCCCAATTCGCGGGATGGTATGTTAGAGAGTCCACTAAATTAGACTGGATGAAATTCCCGTAAGCATGGTACCCCATCACCATGACGCCGATGTACAGTGCCGTGACAATGATGATTGCAGACCTGAAGGACCTCATGAGGCGTTGCTTCTCTTTCATCTCGTCCATGATCGACGGTACATTGGCGATGCAAGCAAATGCACCAAATACTGTGGCTGTCAAACTCCCAAGCGACAGGAGGCCACCGGCTGGCCACATGTTGTGGAGCTCTTTCAAATCCTGTTCTGGCCATTCCTCCCAGACTTTCATGTCCATGATGCTGCAAGACACGATTATGATGCATGACCCGAACGCGGACGCGACACCAAGCGGCGTTAACTTCGCAATCGCGCTGACGTCTCGCATCATAGCCAAAAACCAGAGCAGCGGGGCAAGAAGGAGGACCCAGATACGGTAGCTTAGGGAAACGACAGGCGCCAGAATGTTCTGCACGTTCTGGCCCATTAGAATCACGAAGCCGCAGCTTCCGCCCACGAACCAAATTACCTCAGGGCAAGCAGAGACACAAGGATAGTGGGACGTACCGACCCCTAGTGGGAAAAGGGAGAATTGGGGAGGGCAAGAGGAAGAGGCGGGCAATGAAAGATCCGATGATAACTATCACTGTGCTCTGGCTGCCCTGAAGACCAGAAAAAATCGTATCAATTTCTCGCCAGCTGGGCCATAAGCCGCGCGACCGAAATCTTCGTAGGTATGGATATACGTGCTCGAGAACTTCAAGCCGCGACCGACAACGATATTGTTGGCCATCGTACTTCGGAAGAAGGCACTGCCAGCCTCCATCGTAGCGGCCGCAGTCACGAACATGAGGACAACGCAGAAAACCAGTTCGCCTGCCACTGGCAGCTGAGGTAATGCCATTATACCCGCGCCGATGATCGCCGTGATGAGGCTCATGGTTGCTTCCGTCGACGTGATGCCATGGTCCTCCCGGTGACAATCAGATGGATGACAACCCGCCCTCTAGTCGCCTCCTTCTCCCGCCCCACTCGTCATCCACATCCTCCGTCACAACCTCCGCGTCCGCCTCCGCCCCCACACAACCTCTGCCTCTGTCTCCAATTCCTCCTCCTCCTCCTCCTGCTCCTTGAAACATCTCCGTCGAACCACCAGACATGTCGGTATCTCGGATCGGAGAGGGGTGGACTTCCTGTGGTCATGGGTGCGGAGTGTCGGACCCTGGGGAAGGCTCCCATTCGAGCGGGTCAGACAACGCGCAACAGTAGCCCCCCTCAGGGCCCACCCTATGGGTATGGATGTGTGCGCTGTTCCTTCGTCAATCATGATCCCATCGACGACCTGGAGGACGAGATGGAAGAACCAAGAGGTACTGCATCTGAGCACGCTCGGGGGCTCAGACGTTGTACGCCGGAATTTGGAAGGGCCCAAAGAAAGGTCGCAAGAAAGGGTGCCCCATGGGTTGTACGGCTGCAGGTGCCCCGGTGGGTTGGCTGCACGACTCGAAGTATCCCTGACTCCAGCGAGCGAGCGCGAAGGGTCACGTTCATGATGGACGGGCAGATCTTCCTCGCCAGGGAAAAAGCACAAGACAACTAGGGACAGGCAGCTCGGCATACTTTGGCGCAGGTTCTGACGCCTGTGACAGGCGAGATCGTGGCGAATACTTACAAAAGGGCAGCGCGACATGCTAGGCAAGCTTGGAGGGCTACCGATTACATTGGCAACCACCGCAGCAGCAGGATCGATGAAGGATACCCACAAGTACCTCTCCGAGGAGGAGTGCATGAAGAACAACGACGGGTGCATCACGACAAGTGACGGGTGCTTGCCCCCTCAAGAGCATCGGAAGTGGGTGAAGGGATGGCGAGCTCACCATGATCGTGCAGAGGAGCTTCAGCATCGATTGGACGCCCTACGACACAAGGCCAAGCATCTGCTGGGTACCAGGCCGTTCGATGCTCGATATCATGTGAGGCTATGCTGATCAACTTTCCATCAAGCACCAGCTTAGGTGCGGACAATGGGCGCCAGATCAATTGAAGGCAGTCAGTCCGCAATGCCCACATCGTCGTCTGATGCTCCTGACCCTATGTGATCGCGGATGACTTGGCCACATCAAGTGATGCCGTTGTGGCATGCCCTACCCCCCAAGGCGGACGAACAACTTGCGGGAGAAGAGCTCCCCATAGGTCCGCTGCCCATGCTGAGACGGGTTCGGGGAGAGGCGACATAAAATACTCTGACTGAATGGTCCGATCGTTGTGCAAAGCTCTGGGATGCATCAAGCCGCGCACGGCCTAACAATCGGCCGTGATCACCCACGCCCTGGACCAGTGCGGGGCGAACTTTGATGAAGCGAGCTAGTCGCGTCATTATGCCAGGACGTTGGTTAATGTTCGGATCTGCTGGACATGTCTCCACGCCAGCAATTCCACGGGTGGGTGTTTTCCTGCAGTTGAGCTGCACATGTGCACCACCTGCTATGAGTCCCAGACTGGCCAGAGTAAGCAATGTCTGCAGCTACCTGACCAGTTTTGACAATGGTATTGTCCATGGGTGCGGAAAAAGGCTGACCACTGCGTGCTTGCTCCAAGTGTCCCTGTCATTGATCAGGTACATAGTGATGTTCCGATTGCACGTCTGCGCCAGCCTGTTGATGGCATATCCGTGCAGGTGCCTCGTTCAGCCTGTTCCGGGGTTACCTGGAGGCCTGCCCCAAGATCTCGGGGAACTCCACAACCCTGGTCATTGACCCCAAGGGCGCTGACATGGTATATGCGCCCCTGGGGATAATGAGTGTCACCACCAAGCGTAGTAGGACCATGAAGGACCTGTGAACCGGCAGCACCATGGGAAACTCGCGAACGCAAGCTGTGGACACAGAGCGCGGACGCATTGGAAGACTGAAGGCCGAGATCCCACAGCGCAGAGCTCAGGCTGGCTCTGGCGGACCTTGCTGGCTCTGGGAAAAAAAAGACGGGTCACGTCCATGGTGATGCTGCTGGTGTACGAGGAAGGGTATTGGATTTATGTTGCTCCCATCGAGCACCTAGAAATAATTTCGAGCACCCACGAAAGTCCCGAAAAGATGTCGAACGAGTATCGCCTCCCAGGGCCCGACGCGTGAAAACTTTCCAAATTCGGTGCTTTCCGGGTGCTCAAATTTTGTCATGCGATCACGGCTAAAACAGGTCGGAATCTTATACGAAGGAACCATTGGATGAGGAATCCAAGGTCTGGAAGCCACTGGAACACCACATGCGGCTTGACCATGGACACCACACGGCCTGAAACTTCTGGAAACATTCCTTGGCGGACGCGCCCGCCGCAAGAGGGGGGGGGGCCCTTGGGGCATCTGTGTCAAGCGGCAGTCCAATGAGCGGCCCACCATCTGGGTTAGCAGCCCCTCATGGGGGGTCGGCGGACGCGGCATTTTCCGCGAGCGGGCTCAAACACCCGGGCAAGATGGTGGCAGCGACAGACCCGATGGGGGCCACGATCCTCACCCTGCGGTCCCTTGGCTGGGTTGGGATTGAACCAGATCGGTGGAAGGACCCAGACGACTTCAAGCCCGCTCCGGCGGGGGATACCACTGAGTTGCGCAAAGCCCTTGTCGACTCAGTATTTCGTCTGGTATGGGCCCAGACTGGCTGGCACTCTGAAGGAGGCAGCTTGACTGAGGGTGCCTCACAACCCTTCGCGTGCATCCCCGAATCATTCCGGATTGAATTCCAACGTGGGTCTGTTACTGTAGAGATGGTCATGAAACACAAGTTGAAACACATATTATGACGATCTGTGCATATGCGGTCTGGCGAATCGGGGCGGCATCAACGCGACGCCAAAGGGGGGTCGTGGACTCGAAGTTCGGGCGCACGATTACCCATATCATGAAGTTCTGCGACCGGTCACTGTGTTCTGGGGGGTGCACGGACACGCAAAACACTGTTCAGCTAAGCGTTAGCTGGCGCCCGCCTCAAACTCATGCCCCTTTCCCTCCTCCTCCCAATATCCCTTCGCTGTGGCCCCACCCTCCTCATGCCCCTCCGACTACCCGCAGTCCTCATCAGGCCCCTCGTCCACATTGTCACCCCCCCATGTGCCGATTCATGTCATTCCTCGTCGTCCTCTTCCGCCGGATGAATTCCCCCATCGGCCACGTGCTTGCCCTCCTCCCATTCTCTGCACGCCCGAATGCAGATCATGCCCCCTCCTTCTGCCCCCCCCGCCTGCCTCGTCCTCGTGATGCTGACACCGATCATGCAGCTCCTCATGGGCCCACTTCCTCCCGTTTCGTCCAGTCCCGTTCATCCCCGGCCCCTTGGCCACCCCTCCTATCGAACCTCTTCGTTCCCACAACCCACCATACCCACCCCCCCGCGCCTTTTGTACTCCCAGACCACGGCTTCCCGCTGGACCAGCCGGGCGACCCGCGGAAACTCTCGCCCAGTGACCACTCCAGCGAGCGGCGCGCAACAAATGCACAGTTAGAGTCACGAGCTGTGTATTTCGACCGCGTACGACGCCCCCCTGGACCAGCCAAAAGAGAAACGTGAAAGTTCCCGCCCAATCAACACCACATGCGAGGGGCACACTCCAAATACACAAATGGGAACAAGATCTGTGTACACAGATCACACCACGATCTGTGTAGACACTGGTCCCACACACGAAAATACACAGTTGAAGACACAAAATACACAGATCACATTTTGATCTGTGTATTTTGAACATGTAAGCGCTCGCCACCTCGAGGATGCCCCGACTCTGCCAACCCAGAACCGAAGACAACATGCCCAGCTAGGGGGGGATGCCAATGCACACTTCCCCAGCCCAGGGCGCCCCCGAATGAGCTGCAAATGCACGTTTCCCTGGCCCGAGGCGGCCACGGTGAATCGCGGCACCAAAGCGGCCCCCAACGGCTCGAAGGCGTCCCAAGAGGCCTCGAATGACCCCAAAGAAAGCCGCACAACAATCCGAGAACACGAGGGGTGTCACATGTCATGGACATCTTAACAGTCAAAGCTCCACGCGTCGCCATACAAACCGCTGCACTGGCAAGGGTGCGGGCCTTGCCGCAGGCACCTATACATTTACATGTAAGCAATGAGACTGCGCTCGGCGGCCGTGCCGCCCGCGTTTGGAGTGCGCCCCGAACGCTCGCATTGGCAATCCCTTCTGTTTGGTTGCGCCGCTGTGCTCGGATATCGAAAAGGCGATATACCGCTGATGCGGGCACGCGGCGCCAGGGACTTCACTTGTCGAACAAGGAGGGAAGACGAGGTAGGACGACGAACGGTGGAGCAGGGAGGCAAAGGTGAACGAGGAATAATGAGGGAGGTGGAAAGGGGCGCCCCCCCGCCCGAACCGCGGACGCTTGCGATACCATCCAAGGGGGGGAAGAAAGGAAGGGGAACGGAGCGAGGGCGACGACGACGACGACGGGAAGCAAGCTGTCCTGTGTCCGCATATAGCCATATGTTTGCGATTCGGGTGCGCGCGCTTTCTTCGAAACGCGTCAAGTCCGACCCACATTGAATCCACTAATTCCTCCAAACTGTGTAAACACCCAGTCCTCTGTACCCCCTCCAGGAGACGAGTATGCAATTACAAAGGAGCTGGGACCCTAGAGGGAATGCTCGTGCCACGGTTTAGAATTAAGATCGGCAGAGACGCGTTGGGTTCAGCACGGACGGGCTGTAGGACCAGTGCGATTTACCAGGCCCAGACAGCACACGGCACAGCGTACATGAGTGTCCGTATAGTGCACAACCTGATACCCCTGGATCGCTCGAGCCAAAGAGCTCTGTGAGCGAACGTGTAAGAGACCTGGATGACGGCATCCAAACATAAAAGGGAAACCAGAAGACATCGATACCGATACTCCCCAGACCTCGCCTGGGGTGCGTTCGGATCGAGGCAAACATCCAGCCGTGCCGACGAGGGCCTCCCAGGAGGCCCAACGGGCGAAAACGAGGGAAGGGCAGCAATATCGGTACCTGCTCCTCCTCTAACCCATTACCTGAATCCCCAGAGCCCCCCGACTTCGTGAAGTTTCCCCCCGACCCGAGTCGTTTCTGTTGACGGCCCTGGGGCCCTGGCGAGGGCAGAACGCGAGGGGGTCTGGGCCCATGCATTGCAACCACATCCCTCGGCGATGCGGGTCCATCCTCCGACCCCATACTTTACATTGAGGGCCTAGATCCTCCTCCTCCTCCGCCTCCTCCTCCTCCTCCTCTCCTCCTGCTCCTCCTCCCCCTCCTCCTCCTCCTCCTCCCACTCCTCCTCCTCATCATCCTCCTCCTCATCCTCCTCCTTCTCCCCCTCCCCTCCCCCCCCTCTCCTCCTCCTCCCCCCCTCCCCCTTCCTCTCCTCCTCCCTCCTCCTCCTCCTCCTCCTCCTCCTCCTCCTCCTCCCTCCTCCTCCTCCTCATCCTCCTCCTCTCCTTCTCCTCCTCCTCCTCCTCCTCCTCACCTCCTCCTCCCCCCCTGATGCGCTGGACCCCTGCTGCGGAATCGATGACGCATCTTTGGCTTACTCTCCTCCTCCTCCTCCTCCTCCTCCTCCTCCTCCTCCTCCTCCTCCTCCTCCTCCTGTTGCTCCAGCTTGCGGGGGCCCCAGGAGGGGGTGGCGTGCTGGGGCCCTGGTGCGGCGTGCCCCCCTCCCTGGGCCAACCCGGGGCCTCTCGGGGATGCCTCTATGGGCACTCCTCCTCGGGGCCTCCCGGGGGGGTGGGGCCCTCCTTGGGGCCTGCCGCAGGACCTCCCTGGAAGCCTCCGGGGGCCGCCTCTGGACGGAGGGCTCGCAGCTCAGAGATCCAGTGCATTGACAAAAATCAAGACGGAGGCTTTCCTATGTTTTCGGCCTCTAGGGGCCCTCGCCCCGGGGCGGTCGCAAAACGACTCAGGATGAAAAGCCGGTCCTGTGGGGAATGGGTCGAGACTTCCGAGGACCCCGCACTGAAAAAAATACGGCATCGGATCTCTGGGAATGGCCGCTCGGGCTCCCCCTCTGGGGCCCATCTTGGCGACCTCTTGGGGCCCTGCGGAGAGCTATGGCCCCGCATTGAACAAAAACACGGCATCGGATCTCTGGGAATAGCGGCTCGGGCTCCCCCTCTGGGGCCCATCTTGGCGACCTCTTGGGGCCCTGCGGAGACCTCCGGGAGACAGGCGCGGAGGAGCCCGGGCGGTTTGGTGCTGTGCCGTAATCGTCCTCCTGCTCCTCCCAACCCGCCCGCCAAACCCCTCCCCCCACGTCCCTCCCTTTCCTCTTCCGACCCCCTCCCTTCACAACTACACGATATGAATACTGCTACTCTCCTCTCTCCCCTAATGACGTCCGGAAGATGTTCGGCACCCCTCCTCGTACTGTTTTAAACACAGGATTCCCAGAAGACGGTTTTCGCTTGGGATTAGTTTAAAAATGCTGCTTCGCTGCAGCGGTGGCCTCATGTTCGGGCTTCCGCTGCTCGTTCCGAATCGTGCTCCCGCTGCAGCGCTGGCCTCATTTCCGCGCTTCTGCTCGTTCCGAATCGTGCTCCCGCTACAGCGCTGGCGTCATTATTTCCAGTGCCATGCCACGGCATGCAATGAAATGCAATGTAATGTTCCACTGTGCGGTGCCATGCCTTCTGCAATGCTACGATATGCGATGCTTGACTACGCAGTACCACGCCATGCTATGCGATACTACGAATTGATCTTCAACACCATGCTATGCCATGTTGTGTTATGTGCCGCTGTGCGATGCCATTATTTGCGTTGCAATGCTTTTGGTATGCAATTCTTCACTACGCGCCACGCCATGCTATGACATACTACGCTCTGCCGTGCTCTTCTACGCCCTGCTATGCCGTGCTCTATGATGCATCGCGCACCCTCTCGGGATCATTGCTTTGCTCGACATCTGACTGTGCGAATAGAGAGGAGATCTACGCCATGGTAAGGGATGGGAGGGAGGGTAGGACGTCAGATATGACGCGAGCGCACCTAGCTTGCCCTCCACCCCGCTCTCCTCCCCCATCGCTCATCTCCTCCCCCTCCCTCCCTCCCCCCCCTCCCCCTCCCCCTCCCATTCCCCCTCTTCTTCCTTCTCCTCCTCCTCCTCCACCTCACCCTCCCTTTACATGGCTGTCCGTAGGGAGTGTCAGTTGAGTGTCCTCTTACATGGCTGCGTATGGAGTGTCCGTAAGGCCTCCTCCCGCTCCTCCCCCTCCTCCTCCTCTTTCTCGTCCTCCTCCTCCACCTCCTCCTCCTCCACCTCCTCCTCCTCTTCCTCATACGACCCTCCCCCTTCCCCTCCTCCTCCTCGAGGTCTGGCAGCTTGCCACCCTCGGTCCTCGGGAAGGTCGTCGTCCCAGACCATCGTCATGCTGCGCTGGGGGCCGAAGTAGTCCTCCTCCGCGTCCTCCTCATCGCAAAGGAGAGTCAGCAAATCAGCTCACGTAGCTGTTTGTTTCCTGGCGCCTGCCGGAGAATATGAAGCGAGGTCGCCTGGCGGCGGGGCTGAAACCACCTCGGCAGATGTCGCACCCCCTCCCCCTTGTCCGAAACCCTCCCCCGTTCGTCCAGCCCGGTCCTCGTCGGCGGCGAGGGAGGGATAGGAGATCGTCCTTCGACGAAGACGAAGCGGCGAGAGCAGGCACTTTCGGAGGTCTGTGCGGATCTTTTCGATCGGCGCTGGAACCCCCTTCCCTGCGGTGCGGAACGAGCCACGGGCGCCGTCAGGGAGGGTCTAGTGCCGATCCATGAAATCCTTGCCGACCTCCGAACTGTAATGCTTACACGCGTGCTTCTTCTTCTTCTTCTGCTTTTTCTTTTTCTTCTTCTTCTTCTTCGGGTCCTCCCCTGCGGCAGCGGCTGCGGTTCCGCCTCGTCGCTGCTGGAGCTGCTGCTGTCATTGCTGTCCTTAGGGGGCGAGGGGGGCGAGAGGGAAGGGGCAAGGCGTGCTCGCGCCACATCGGACATCCTGGCTCTCCCTCCCATCCCTCACAAACGAACTTTTGCTGTCTCTATCCGTGGACGCCTGTCATGGCCGACCTGGAAATCCCCCAAACAGCCCCATCGTATCATTCGCAATCGAAATCGGGGAGCTGCGTACATAGGAGGAGGAGAAGGAGGAGGAGGAGGAGGAGGAGGAGGAGTAGGAGAAGCAGGAGGGAGCAGGAGGAAGAGAAGGAAGAGGACGAGGAGTGAGACACTGAGGACAGTGGGGAGGACGTGGAAGGAGGACTCCCGCTGGGGCGGGTGCGCCATCTCGATCGACGAGAGCACAGCGCCGAGCCGAAAACGAGGCCCACGCTGCAGCGGTGCTGGACCGCCGATACCAGTCGGTGCGTGAGCAACTACGGCGGAGGTATTTGATAAGGAGCCCTCGGATAAGGAACCCGTGGTCTCGCAACCGATGGGAGGCAAGACGCGGGCCGCCCATCCCGCCTCGACGCAGGAAGGAATGCGCCAGGGTCTGGCCCCTCGGAGGACCTTCCTTGTCCACCGCCCCCACCGTATAAGAAAAACAACGCTGTCCAATATGGTGGAAAGAAACAAAACGCGGAGAGAACATGCCGGCTTCCAGACGGGGTCACGGGAAAGACGAGGGTAGTAGTAATGTGTAATTGGGGAGGCGGGGGGGGAGACGAGAGGAAGGGGGACGTTGAGGAGAGGGGGAAGGGTTTGGAAACAACTTCTGTGAGGTCTGCGCGAGACCGATCCTGGGCTATGAAACAGATTTAGGGCCAATGGACCAGATTGGGCTAGGTTAGGCACAGGATTCAACGGGATGCCGCGGAGCTCCCAGAAGTTGCATCCCAAGAAAGACGATGACGAGAAGTTAGGGGGAGACGGAGGAGGGGAGCAGAGAAGGGGCCGGAGAGAGGGAGAGGTGCAGCGGGTGCAGGAGGGAGGGGGGAGAGAAAGAACGAGGACGTAGAGGAGGACGACGACAGAACGACGGCGGGAAAGGTGGGCTGCCCTCTTCAGGGTGTAAGGCGTCAGGCTGCGCACAGGCAGCCCCCCCAAGGTAGTCCCTGCTGGCCTCAACGGGCGGCGCCGGGGTGCTAAGGCCAGCTGGGACTGCCCATGGGGCCTGCTGAGGCCAGCCGGGAGGAGGAGGAGGAGGAGGGGGAGGTGGAGGAGGAGGAGGAGGAGGAGGATGGAGGAGGAGGAGGATGGAGGAGGAGGAGGAGGAGGGAGGAGGAGGAGGAGGAGGAGGAGGAGGAGGAGGAGGGGGAGGAGGAGGAGGAGGAGGAGGAGGGGGATGGGTCGCCAAAGCCCTTCGGAGAAACCCTCCAGGCTGCCCTCTTCTCGGAGGCCCCACACGGTGTGGTGACCACACCGTGTCACTGCACCGACCTGGCAAACGTGCAGCAGCGGATTGTTGCGTGGATGTCAGTCGACGCAGCACCCCCAAAACGGCGAGCGAAAGACGAAGGGAACTTCACGTGGATTGTTTGTAATCTTCATCCCTGGCCAACAAAAAAGTCCGCACGAAATTCACCTCGAAACCTGGAACAAAACTCTCCAGGACAATCTGGGCCCATCCCATTGCTTTCCGAACGAGATCCACTCTGCGATGTTGGCGCCATGACATCGTGTGATGACCACACCGTATGGTGAGTCAGTGGGATTGAGCAGGGACGGACCGTCCTGGCATTCTTATAGGCCCACCACGACATGTTCTTCGGACCCAGATGTGTTCCAATAACAAACAAACAATGTTCTCAGAACACACGCCCGATGTCTTAAAACAAGATAGTCTGAGCCAGGCAAGTTCGAAACACATGTCTGCAGACAATAAAAGGTTCTTATAACTTTCTCTTTGGTGAGCCTATCGGCATGCCAGGACGCTTCGCCACTGCTTGATGGGAACCCGGGGTCACCGCGCGGGTGTTGGGGGGACTCGGGCCGTCCTCAAGAGGCGCCGCGGGCGACTTGGAGCCTCCAGGGGGCCCAGAACCGTGCAGAGGCGGGCCCTGCGGTAAGGTCTCTGCGGGTTGCGGAGTCGCCGCGCGGTGCGTCACCGTTCTGGGACCCCCCGATCTTCACGGTCGGCGGAGGAGGAGGAGGAGGAGGAGGAGCAGGAGGAGGAGGAGTCGAGGATCAGGATGAGGAGGAGGAGGAGGAGGAGGAGGAGGAGGAGCAGGAGGAGGGTGAGGAGGAGGAGGAGGAGGACGAGGAAGGAGGGGGGAGGAGGGAGGAGGAGGAGGAGGAGGAGGAGGAGGAGGAGGAGGAGGAGGAGAGGAGGAGGAGGAGGAGGAGAGGAGGAGGAGGAGTCGAGGAGGAGGAGGAGGAGAAGGAGGAGGAGGAGTCCTGAGCCGACTGCCGGGGGACGGTCTGGGCCACCCTCGTCGTCCTCCACGGGGTCCTGCTGGCCGCGGACGTGACCGCCGAGAAAATGGGCCTCGTTTCTTGGCCGGCGGTCGGAGGCGCCATGGCGCCGGAGGCGGAGGAAGTGTGCGAGAATGAAGGGGGGGTTGGAGGAGGAGGAGGAGGAGGAGGAGGAGGAGGAGGCGGAGGAGGAGGAGGAGGAATATTACATCAACGCAAAGCTACCCCAGCATACTCACGGGTGGCGGGGTGAGGCCACCCGTAGCGTGAGTGCACCTGCCGTGAATACCTCCACAAGCACGAAGCCGAAGAAGACCACAACGAACAGGAGCACATACGGGTCCGTGAACTCAAGCGTCATGTGGCAACTGCCCAACGACGCCAGCCCTCCGGCGCGCACGTCTCGCAGAACACCAAGCCGCACTCCGAGCACACGAAGAGCGACTCTGGGTCTTCGTCCATGCCATCCACGAGCAGGTCGCAGGAAAGGCAAATGAGCCGCTGGTCGCCGATGAGCTTCACGTACTCGAGGGCGTGGACACCTGGGCACGGCCATGGGAGGTCAGCCGTGTCCGTGGCAGGCATCAACACGCACTCCCAATATTCCTCTTGAGGTACCAGCCGTGGGTCACTATGAAAACGCACCAAGGAGCCGCCTCGGAGGGGGCCGCCACCAGCGGGAGCACCAGTGAGCCCATGCCGAAGAGGCTGGTCCGCTTCCGCAGGGAGGCCACGACGCACAAAAGGATCAATTCCAGCGAGAAGAACAGCTCCACCTGCAGCATCTCCAGCGCTGCTGTCCGCCTCCATGGCGGCGGGAAGACGACCAGCAGCATCGCCACCGCCTTCACCACGGAAAGGACGGAAGACCGGAGGTACAGGAAACCGATCTGCGCGGAGCGGCTCGCGAAGGCAAGCACGCGACGGCGGCACGCCTCCACGAGGAAGCCATCCCTCGGGCATGATACCCAGAGAAGGCGCCGAGGCAGTAGAGGAAGATCCCGACGCCGTGCTGCACGAATCGTCTTCCCCAAGACGCGGAAGAAGATCAGCGAGCCGAAGGCGAAAGACACCGTCCTCATTGCATGCCCCGACCTCGGAGCACCGCCCCGACGCCGTCATCCCATCAGCAGCCGCCGCGGCGCCAGCAGTCTCCTGCTCGGTGTTCTTGGAGCAAACACCACCTCCCGGAACATCTCGGACACGAACCAGCCTGGGCCCACGCTGCGCTGCCCTGAGCTCGCGGGTGGAAGCCGTAGAGACGTTGATCCCGTCGGCCGAGGCGTGAAGAGCAACGTTCCGACGCAGCACATCCTCCCATGAACTCGGCGAAGACGAGACCAGCGCCCGCAGATGCGGAACGACAGCCAGAACGCGGTCGGCAAGATCGGCCTCCCCACCCAGTAGCATCCCGACGGCGTCGAGAAGATGCTGATGACGTTCTCGAGCGTCGTGCAATGCAAGGTCGAGGCGCCCGATAGCGCAATCCGCAGACATGCGAGCCCACACACGGCCAGCTTGCCGCCGCCGCCGACGAGCAGAGGAAGACGAATCGCCACCGAATTGCGCGGCCACCGGCGAAGGGGCCGCATCCCGTGCCATCCCGTGCTCGCGCCCCACGCCCGTCGAGCCAACGGCAATGGGGCCTGGCACAGGCGAGAGCCAAAATGGCTTGAGCCAAAATGGCTACGGTCGGAGGAGGAGGAGGAAGATGAGAAGGAGGTGGAGGAGGAGAAGGAGGAGAAGGAGGAGGAGGAGGAGGGGAGAAGGAGGGCTTAGAAAAGGAGGCCTTAGAAAGGGGGGCCCTGAAAACGACACGGCATTTTTCGCCACTGTAATTCTTCAGTGTATTACCGTGCCGGGCGACATCTTCTTGACGTTTCTGGCGCCGATGTTCTACGACCAGCTCTGAACCACTTTCGAACCGGCTACGAACGCCCTTCGGATCCCAAGACTGCCCGCACCGTTTCGGCGAATAGTTTCTCTCACCGTTTCGGTGGAACGCTTCGTTGCAATTCTCATGATCAGGATGAAGATGGTGTCTCTCTCAACCATTATGTTGTTTCTGGGCCCGCGTATTGAAAAGACAGCTCCCAGCGTCTCCTCTCCTCCTCCTCCTCCTCCGCCTCCTCCTCCTCCTCCTCCTCCTCCTCCCTCACTCCCTCCCTCCCTCCCTCCCTCCCTGCCTCCCTCCCGCCCTCCCTCCCTCCCTCCCTCCCTCCCTCCCTCCTCCCACCCCAGTGGCGCCGTCCGCATGGGTCCGCGCCGCAAATTTTGGCGCACACACACACACACCCCTCACACGCATCTTAGCCCCATAGGGAGCTCCATCAAAGGCCCCAGTGGCGCCGTCCGCATGGGTCCGCGCCGCCCACATTTCGGCTCACCCCTCGTACGCTTCTTGGCCCCATAGGGAGCTTCACCCAAGGCTCCAGCGGCTGCGGCCGCATGCGTCCCCGCAACCCATTTCGGCACACCCCTCACTCGCTTCGTGGCCCCATTCGGAGCTCCACCTAAGGCCCACTGGCCCGAAAGCTCCGACGGCTACGGCGGCATGCGTCCCCGCACACTAATTTTGGCACACCCTCAACCGTTTCGTGGCCCCATTGGGAGCTTCACCCAAAGCCCCAGCGGCTGCGGCCCCACGCGCCCTCCGCAACCCATGTCGGCACATCCCTCACACGCTTCGTGGCCCCATAGGGAGCTCCACCTAAGGCCCCAGCGACTGCGGCACATCCTTCACACGCTTCGTGACTCCATGGGAAGCCCCACGTAGGGCCCCAGTGGCTTCGGCCGCATGCATCCCCGCCACCAATCTCGGCAAACCCCTTCACACGTGTCATGTTATAACCGCAGTAAACAATTAAGACCCCCCCAGGGTTATCGTTAGCACCGCACCGTAACAAGTGGCACGTGTGCCATGGCTCTTGCACAAAAAGGAAGGGGGAGGAGGAGGATGTGGAGGAGGAGGGGGGGGGAGAGGATGCCAGACATCGCAGAAGGAGTGAACAAAACAGGGCCGCAAGAGGGGCTCCAGAGGGCGAGCGCGAGGAGACTCCAAGGGCCGTCCCCCGCAAGATGGCTTCAAAGACCTTTGACGGGTTCCCAGGAAGCCTCCAAACACCCATTTCGTAATGTCCCGGATCCCCAGTTTCTTGTTGCTGCTGCAACCAGAATTGCAATTTCGTAATGACCCAGATCCCCGATGTCCTAAGCGTTTTGTGGCGCTCGTGTGTTACTTCGCGAGGGCGGAAAGAAAATGGGCGGGGCGGAAGGAAACCATACGGAGAAGGCCCCGCTGAGGCCGCGGGGAACACTGGGGGGAAGGGGCGAAAGGGGCGCACCGGGGCAGGAAAGACATTGGCCGGGCACTGGGGCCGCGGGGCACTGGACGGGCGCTGGAACCGTGGGGGCGCTGAGACGGTGTCCGGGAAGGGGCGGAGCACGGAGGGGCTGCGGTGCCGAAATAAAGTGGGCGGGGCGGAGGGGGCGCTGGGCGAGCGCTGGAGCCGT